CACCGTTGTGAAGGTGGATTTCACCCGGGGACCTCTCTTGGATCGGGCTCGCCGCTTCGCCTCGCCCCGAACCGACGGCTCCTTGGGCCCTTCCTTCGCCGCCAGCGGAGCCCTGCCGGCGTAACCGTCCGGCTTTGGTGGAGCTCGTCGCCCCGGCGCAGGCTCAGGGGTGCCCGGGCGCAGGCCAGGGTGCTCCATGGCCACGGGGGTGCCCAGCTGGTCGTCGAGCGACTCAAGGAAGTCGAAGCTCCTGCAGTGGCGCTTGTTGAAGGGCTGCGGATCGCGGGGCAGGGATGAGGACATGAAGGCGTCACATCGTGCCAGGGGCTGGCAGACGATCGAATCCCTGGGGGCTGTGGAGGCCACCTTTATGTCTTGGTACACCGTAGACACCAGTATGTCAGGTGGGTCGGTTCGTGTCATCTTAAAAGTGACTCTTCTCTCGCCAGCTCCCCTTCAGAGTGCCTCAGAGGAAGGCAGCTGGCCCTGCAAGAGAACAGAGAAGGGGCCTAAATCCCAGCCAGGCCCGGCGGGGACCTCAGGGGAGCTGTGAAGATGCAGGATAAAACCCGATGCCTCTTGGCTCAGGGAGGTTTTTCTGACAACTCTTCTGAGCTGGGGGGATTAGGGGAGTCTCAGCTTCCGCGGGTGCTTTTAAGAGTCTGATCTTAGCTGGAGAAAAGCTGAAAAACGCAGTTCTGACAGGCTCAAAATCCAGAGCGCAAATAAAGACGACCAAACGAGAGGGCGCCTGCAGGCCTGCTGGGCACCCACACATGTAACAGGGCAGCAGAGAGTGCAGTCATCTCTATGCCGGGGAGAGGAGCCTGCAACCGTGGTGCCCCTGCAGGTGCTTGGTCCCCAGAGCCAGGACGCAGGGCTCGTGCAGAGCCAGGGCCACTTTGGAGAGACCCAAGAACAGGCTCTGTCCTAATTTTGGGAGCCTGCAGGGATCCCCAGCGGCATCACGGGAAACAGCAGCTCCTAACAGGGTGGGGGGGACTCAACAAGGGGATTTCTTTCCTTAATGGATGGCGAAATTATGCCTGGCACCCCGTCGTGCCCATTGGAGTGGCCATGGGGCCTCCTGAGACCGCAGGCCTCCTCATCTCAGTGCACGCTGTACAACACCGAGGACCATGGGACATGCAGGGCAGCTGGGGAGCATCGCTCAGCAAACGGGGTCCATGAACGCCCACTGCAGTGGCCACAAAGCCCATGCAGCCTTGGGGACAGGGTGACTACCCTGCACTGGAGGAGCTGGAGCTGTGCCCCTTCCCCGTGTCAGATGCATGGTCTGGGAACACCTCTGTGGGGTCTTGCCTGCTTGTGGCCACGTTGCTCCCTGGGCCCCATCTGGACCAGCATGGCCTAACTAGAGAGGTGTTGTGGCTAGGGCCCCAAACTCCTCCAAGACATCCTCCATCGCTTCCCCACCATCCACGTTTTGCAGCAGACCAAGCCCTCAGGCCACCCCAAGGTGTGTTAGGAATAACCATTAGCTAGGAGCCTGCAGCACCCTGGCACCAGAAGGGCTCTGCTCACTCAGCACCCTCCAGATTTGCCTTCTTCAGTGTCCCAGCTGGTCCTGTGGCCAGGGGACACATCTCACATGGTGCATCGGGGGTGGGAGAGCAAGTAGGGGCTGGAGGCTGCAGCTCACGCAGTTTGGGCTGGATGCGAGATGGGCTGTGTTTATACAACCCCTCCTCCCCAAGACAGACCCACTTGTGGGTAAGGGGAAGACAATTGCCAGGCTTGGAAGAACTGCATCAGCAGGAGAAGCAGGGCAAGCCATTCAGCTCCTTTCCTTTCCTCCACTCCTTGCAGTGGAGGCCGGCACACAATAGCTCATGCCCATGGGTGACCCTGGGGCCCATGGTGGCACCCAGCTGGGGGTGGACACAGTCTCCCGCACACACACTCGTGCTAACACAGCACACCTGCCGCAACAAGCGCCTAACACCCCTGCTCCAGGGATGCTGCTCTGCAGCCCACGCCAAAGGCTGGTGTGCCCAAAAGCCTTGACTGTACAGCTCCATTTCTCCTCGTGCGATATAGCCGAGTGACAAAGGCAGGCATCCACGCAATCCAGGAATCCTCAAGCAGATACAGGGAGAGGACAAGGCAGTTTGCTCAAAGGATAGGGCAGGCTTCAGCCCATTGAGACTGGCTGGAGACCATAACCTGCCCAGAGCATACTTTCCCCACCAGGTGATAACCAGCCTGCTTTATGTCTCATAAGATCCTAAGGATAATTTTCTTGGCCACCTGGCCGAGAGGCCCAAGAGCATGGAGATGAGAGCTGGTCATCTCATAAATCCAGAAAGGTGCAGGGCAAAAGCCATCAAAATGCATTTCACTTTAAACAGAAGCAGAGGACCACAGGGAACGCGTTTGAGGGAGAAAAGGAACAGACTTTATTCAGCAAGAAGCAGCATCGACTACATGAAGGAGGCAAGGGTCTTTTTCACTTGTAGCCTCAGTTTCCAACTCTACCTTGATAAAGACCTGTCTTGTACTGAAGCTGGGATGGGGGCAGACCACATGAATTGGGATGAAGCTGGTAGGGATGGAAGAAAGCAATGGTGGGGCAGGGGTCTGTACCTTGGAAAGGGATTGGGGCATCCTGCAACCAGGAAAAGCTTGCTGCCAGTCTGGTAAAGGCCAGGAGTGCCTTTTGGGGTGCAGCACCTTCAGGTGTGCACGTGTCCCCAGCTACCTCCAGCATGGAGACAGTCCAGAGCATCTGGTGAAGCCAAAGCTTTATGGCCTGCATTGGAAATCTGTCCCCAGTGATGCTGGAGGTGTTTTTGGGAAACCAAGCAGTCCACAGGGGCCATGCTGGGCTCCATACTGGTAGTCTGCTGGGAGGAGATGGGGATCTAGCAGGAGCTGGGTGCTGGAGGAGGCAGGTTTGGCCCTGCACTGGCTGAGCGGCAAGGGCTCTGCTGGGTTACATGCATTTGGGCATGCTGGGCTGGAGTTGGGAGGACTGGAGTTGGGAGGACTCAGGAAGGTGAGCATCCCATGGTGGATTAGATGCCATCTCCTCCCCAAAACAGTGGTGCTGAGGCCAGAGGGGAAGCTCATCACCATGGCAGCCGGGCAGTTTGCAGGCAGGCAACCATGCTTTGGCCCGTGGTCCGAAGATCCTACCTGGTCTGGCGGCAGCAGGGATGGGGTGGGCGGGCAGAGCTGGCAGAGGGCCCTGCAGTGGCTCCATTCCAGCGCTGCAAAATAAAAGAGGCACTTGAGGAATCCGGGAAACCCCAGCACACACGGGCAGGCTACTTGGTACCAGCACCACCATGCCAAGGCCACCTGGGGCACTGTAACTCCAGCATGGGATGCCTGAGCAAAGGCGCCACTGCAGGGGGTGGCACCACACTGCTGTTGCCCAGGCTGTGGCCAGGAAGACCTTGGATTGGGGTCAAATGCCCCTGGGAGGCTCCTGCAGTGACATCCAACCCCAACCTCACTTAGCCAAACCAAACCCAAGCCCAGCTAGGCCACCGTGCACACCCCTGAGCGCATGGGCACCCTTGTCACACACACAGCCACACAGATGGGGTACGACCGCCCTCCTCATCCCCATCCCTCTGCAAGGCGCCCCAGAGGGCTGCACAAGGCCAGGGTGGCAGGGGAACCCACTCCCCGGGCGCGACAGCTCAGCCACGGTGCTGGCATCCCCAGCGCTGTGTAGGGTTGCCATGGTTTCTCCCAACTATTCCTTCTCAGCGCGGAGCGGCGTGGGTGCGGGGGACGTGGGGGAGGCTGGCGTTGCTCGTGGGCGCTGGAGCGCTGCGGGGGCTCCTGGGCGGGAGCTGGAGGTTTGCAGCAGAGCAGGGGGAGGACCCACACAGATGGGGTACGACCGCCCCCCTCATCCCCATCCCTCTGCAAGGCGCCCCAGAGGGCTGCACAAGGCCAGGGTGGCGGGGGAACCCACTCCCCGGGCACGACAGCTCAGCCACGGTGCTGGCATCCCCAGCGCTGTGTAGGGTTGCCATGGTTTCTCCCAACTATTCCTTCTCAGCGCGGAGCGGCGTGGGTGCGGGGGACGTGGGGGAGGCTGGCGTTGCTCGTGGGCGCTGGAGCGCTGCGGGGGCTCCTGGGCGGGAGCTGGAGTTTTGCAGCAGAGCAGGGGGAGCACCCGCGTGTCCTCTGTGCCTGGGAGGGCAGGGAGGAGATGGCCCTGCTGACACCGCCCTTTGCAAGGACAGCACCCAGGGTCACACCGGCCATCGGGGTGTCTGCGCCCTCTTCCACCCTGCCCAGCCAGTGGGGACCCAGCTCTGCCTCCAAGCCCTGCCTGCCCTCTCCCTGGGCAGGCACTGATCTCCCTGCCCATGTCTCCGCAGCTGCCTCGCCGTGATGTGCCAGGGACGGAGCAAGCCCCTTGCCTGGCAGCATCACCCCCGTGTCCCCACCCTGGGAAAGATCCAGACGTTTGTCCCAGAGCTGCAGTGCCTCACATGTCCCCACTGTTCGGGCTGCTGCTCCAGCAGGAAAGGGGCACAACAGGAACATTGTTCCCAAGGGCCAATTCCCCACGTTGAATCCTACCAGAGTGCCCATGATGCCCAAACACCTCCAAACACAATCCCTCCAACATTCCCGCACCCGCGGGATCTCCACTGCCAGCACACTGTGCCAGGGCACCCCAAATCCCCTCCCTGGACCTGGGGCTGGCACCTGCCCTTTGCCTGCCCAGCAGCCAGCCAACATCACATTGAACAGTCCTTTCTGCCAGCACCCACTGCTTCGGGGAGGCCCAGCACCAGGAGCAGGACAGGCTGTGTGCTGGGCAAAGGAGCTAGAAACCAGGCCCACAGTGGGAAGGCACTGGGATGCAGTGCGTGTGGTGCTGGGGGCACCTCCAAGCCCGGTGCCAGGGCGGGGGGGGGTCTCTGAGCCCTCCGTGGGGGCCCCCCGCCCCCCC